TATATATATATATAATGGAAAAATGATTCTGATACCTTTCAAAGTGCAGCCTTGTGTTTTATTCTATTACAAGACTGGTCTTAATAATTTACTTGAAATAACTTGGGAAAACTAGTGGCGCTGGTAGTTTTAACATTTTTTAAAATCTATGTTTTAGTAATTTCTGAAAACATTGTAATTGTGGAGTTCTCTTTACCATGATATTGATAGATTTTTAGAATTACATTTTCTCAATTGATTATTAGGTTTTTGAAAATAGTACAGATTGTCAGGTTTTTGTCCACAATGCAAAAGCCAGTTGTAGCTGTAGCATCTTGTGAGAGAAACTGTTGTTAAGTTCTCTATAATTTTTTTAAGATCTATTTATCGTGAAAAAAGGATGATGTTTCAGATACGTTTTAGACTTAATCCTTATGTTTTATAATATCTGAAATAATAATAGCCATAAATTAATTTCTAAAATTACTTGTAGAAATATAATAAATTCCTTTTATTAGTTTAAGAGTTTCTCCATAATATTTTTTTCTGATGTTGGGAAGAGTAAATGGTGATAGCTAGTTAATAAACTTTTTTGTCTGTGTTAAAATACTTAGTTTTTAGTAATACATTGAGTTACTTAGTTATATTTTGTCACCAAAAATGTCAGCTTTATTTGATATGTTATCATACATAACCTGGTGTACTGTTCTGTTTGAGAAGTATGCAAGATTGTTTGATTTGATTATCAGTAATTAAAATCATTTCATGGTGAATACATAGTCATAAGTAAATGTATGCATGCTTATACTTTGGATTATTATCTTAACATTATCTTTAGTATAGTGTTGTAATATATGACATATTTCTATAACATGTGAAATATGTGTTAGAAAAAATATCACCCTGAGAATTTCTTGCAGTATTTATTAACTATTTTATACAATTCATTTTGCTATAACACTGTGTCTACAAATGATGCATAAACATTGTTAGAGCTGAAGATGATGAGCAACATATGCTGGTTTATTTAAGTAGTATTTCTAGTATGAATTTGATAAGATTCACAAGTATGCTTTCAGAAATACATTTGAAAAGAAGCTTAGATAAGCTTATATAAGCTTAACAATTATTCTTTACAAAATGTAGTAAATCCTTATCATTAATTAATTCTGCAAAGGTCCATTACATTACATTATGGAATAAACATTTCTTGGAGTTCATTTAAAGTCGTGATTTTTTTTTATGAACCTTCTCGAGCTCTGCTAATACTTCTGTAAACATGAGACTTGTAGTTGATAAGTTATTAAATCATGAAAATAAAATTTCTGCATTGAATGATTTTAATTTTTTGTATGTTTCAGCCATTGTAGTTATCACAGATGGAATGTTAAGCATGCCCAATATTTCTCTCCTTGAATCTCTTCTCACACAATTGCGAAATAGTACCATTGCCTGCTCTTTCTTTCAACTTGGTAGCAGTTACCATCCTTTTTCAGCCTTGGGTTTGTTCCATATACGGATCTAATAAACTTCATTGCTACAGCAACCTTTGGCACTTATCTCCCAACATGTCCAGATGTGGTAAAAATTTTGTATTTGAA